GTTGTTCTCTTGCATCGTGTGAATCGTTTAGGCTGATTTTTGGGAAACTTAGCTCGGTTTTAGTTCAGCTGCTCAGCCCTCTACGTAATCTTTTCCAAGATATGTCTGTGAGTAATGCCAATCAAACGAATCCCCTGGAAGCAATACGCTGTGAATTCACGAGTCCGGACGCCCCGATCACCCCGAAATTCTACAGGCATGTAACCGAGGTCGAGCGTAATTGTGTTAATCATTTATTTAAAAACATCCAAACGCCTACGGTACTAAACATATTAGAGAACTAACACTTACAATTACACTCATAAGAAAGGAAAATATTAACCTTAACGGTGCATAGCATAGCGAGAAGCTGCCTCTTAAAAAATGGACAAAAAAATTGATCCACAGGACCTAATTTATACACAAAACCTGTCAAATTACTCGACATAATTTCGTAACATCACGCAACAGTACAAACAGCAATCACAAGTACACGATACAACAAATGAAAAGTATAGACACTCGCACTTAATTAATACGTAAACGAAGTACACACAGAAAACTATTTCTCAATACGTTTTGCGATAACAATGCATCACAGTCAATTATGTTACTTTTTGCTCGTGTTCCTCATTCCAGCGTCATGTATATTGAAGCGGAATTAAAGGCCGCCAATTTCAGCCTAAAGGTTTGCCGAGAGCCTTGGGACGAGGCGTTACTAGGACACGCGGTACTCAAACCGTTACAGCTTCCAAATTACGCTTCAATTATTAACTCTCGTGGTGCACACCCTTGCACGGTGAATGTCGCCACAGTTTAAGTTGCCAGACGTTAAGGGAAATGAAAACATATTTTTCTTCTTAAGTAATCTTTATACACGAAAAAGATCTTTCAAAAATCGGACTTTTTAGTTTCTATTTTATTTCATTACTATTCTTTGACAAAAAATATAGAGTTCCGCAGGTTCCGCAGGTTCCACAGGTTCCGCGGACTGCCGATGCGTAGTTTAGTAACTACCGCCCTCAGCTAGATAGACTATGAAAGACGCTGACGAAGGGTCCCCTGAAAGAAAACGAAAGTGCTCACGTTTGGAAAAAACATTCTCACCGTAAAGCGTGATGCAAAAATAACTGGGGCGTAGTCGATGACAACCCATATCTCCATTACACAGTTGTATTACATTACATTACATTTAGACGTCAATTTTTTTAAAACGAGAAGATCTACGATCTAACAAATATTTCCATCTGAGTAAGAGAAAGCCTACAAGTTCTCATAGAAAAAAAAGATAAAATTATTTTGGGAAGTCACGTTTACAAAGAGGTGATCAAAAGTTCGTCGTACTCAGAGATTTTTCGTGAGATTTTTCCTCTGGCACTAAACTGTTTACATGAAAGAGGGCAAGGGCGCTTAACCTTGTGGTTGCGTAAGCACTTAATATCTACTCGCAGAAAGGTTGAAAATTCTGAGTCTTACATGAAAAACTAGAATCTGATTGCATTGCCGTGCACATACGCACAGGATGTTGGAGATCAGTTTAAATTGAGAACCAATTGATGACCCTTTTCTTAACGAAGGTTTCGGCGATTTCGGCGTAAAATAGTTATATTAAGCTTGATACGTAATGCCGGCTTCTCACTGCACGTGTGCCAGTTGTTTTTTTTACAGGTCAGTATGAACGTATCGAAACTGCTTACTCAAGGATATATTTCATGAAAAAAAGTAAAATAAATACTCCACCTTCAATTGAGTTCTGTTTTTAATTCACTTTGTAATTTAGTGCAGTCTGCAAGAGTAACGGGTAATAGCTGACTACTCAAGCATAAAATAAGAAATATAAAACCCGGGTAGTAAACATGAACTGTGCATAGGAAGGAAGGTTCGATAACCTTCCAGAACTCGCAAGTGGCGGAAAATGAAAGAGTTGGCATCAGTTTTTGTGTTTGTAGCCCTTTTCTTCTTATCATGCTGTAAGTATATGAAGTGTTTTGGTGTAATCGTACTTAATTGGTCTATATAAGTCGCCTGTTTACGCCGTATTTCCTGAAGGGTCAATCATCCTTTTCCGTGTGGCTATACCCAACTCATTAGTACGAGCTTCATTCCTCCTTTACGGTAGACCTCTTCAGTTCAGAAAGTCTGATTTGCTTTACTTTAAATGCTGCATTGAAAAAAAAGGAAGATATACGTGAACCAGTTTTCTGATAATTTCTTATGGATGCGCACATTTGAAAACGAAGTTTTTTTGGGAGGCCTCGCTAATGGTCGTTGCAACTGGTTTTTACCCTTTCATTGTAAGAAGTCGATTAAG